CATGGCTGTCCCCGTGGTGGAAATTCAGTATTCACCTGTCCATGCCCCGGGCCCTCTGGCCAACAGACTCTTAATTAAAACATTATTTCTTCTCAGGCTCCAGTGCCTGTGCATCTGGGGTGCTTGGGGTCTGAACAAGGCCCTCGAGGACCTCCATAACCCCCGCCCCCTCCCAAAAGACCCTCCCCAGGGTTTACAAAATGGACCCGAGGTGACATGGCTGCAGTTCAGAGGTGAGACAGAGGCCCGACATACTGCCCTTTAAGTCTCTACCTGAAATTTCTATAACACACCCCCCTGCAATGCCCACGATGACTTCCCACGCCTTAGCCCAGTTCCCCACTCCCAGATCTGCAGCTGCTTAGCCAGAGCCCTTTAGACCGCCTCCCTCAATGCCTCAAGACCCTATGCAGGCGGCGAGGCATCTGGATGTAAGGGGAAGCAGGAAGCCGCCCAAGGGGTGGGCACGAGTCCCTCCTGGTCCTGAGAAGGTATTTGGAGGTGAAGATGGGGCACAGTTGGAGAGCTGAGAAGGCGCTGGGATGACCATATTGCCACCCTTAGTCATTTGAGAGTTTGGGCAGTAAAGGTTGCATCCCCAGTCAGGGCTGCTCACTGCACAAAGGGCTTGTGGGGGCCTCAAAGAGGGCTAGGTGCTCTCAGGCTGGGAAGGAGGAAGTTCGAGAAGACTTCCTGAAAGAGGCTGCAATTCTAAGTGGATCGGAGCTGCCGAGAAGAGACTGAAAAGTGCACCACGGAGGGGGCATGGGTTGGACAAAGGTGTGGCTGGAAGAATATCCTGGGCAAAGAAAAGGTGCCCAAGAGCTTCTCTCCCGTCCCCTCTGTGCCCCTCTGTATGTGATACCTTCTGGTTGCCCACGGGAGCCTTCCAAGATGGCGTAGTGCTTCCCACTGAAGACTGGTCACCGGTGCCCCAAGAGGGGAGTGACAGCCTCAAAGTCACACAGTAGAGCTGGAAGGCTCAATGCTCCCTCCTGAAAGGCTAGGCAGAAGCTTCAATGTCCTAGGTCAGTGTCAGGGGCTGGGGCTCCAGCAGGAATGTCCGAGGCAGTGTGCATCAGCCAGTCAGGCCAGTGTTCCACCGTCCACCTGGGACCCAAGACCCTGGAGTGACGTCTAGGCTTCCAGGAGGAGGGAGAAATACCTTCTCAAAGTGTCTTCTACCCCCACCTATTCGTTCGGCCAGTACCCGGGTCCCCTCCGTCATGGCTCTACCTCCTCCAGCCCATACTACCTGGGGTCGCTGACGAGCAGCACCAGCCTTCCTGCAAGCGCGGGCGCACTGTTGGGCGGTCATCCAGCCGCGCGTGGTAGTAGAAGGCGAGCTCCCGGTAGCGCCAAGTTAAATGCAAATGTCCCTCAGCCAGGCCAGGTCCAATGACTGGAAGGAATCTCCGTCTGAAAACACTGCAGCCAAAAACCTGCCACTCTCACCTCATTCAGCCCAGGGTCTGGTTACATCTCCTCCTGTCACTCAGGGCCTGAAGGGGTGGGGAATGGAGCTCTAGCCAATCAGTGGTGTGTAAAAACTGTCCAATCAGAAGCGCAGCCAGAGGGGAAGAGGCGGCCTCTACAAGCTGGACGGGTCTTTGTCTCCTAGCGACCAGGCTCTGGGTTCAGTTCCTGTCTCCATTGTTTCGTGTCCTCTGCTCCAAGAGCTCCTAGGTGAGTCTACAACAGCCCCCGTTATCCTGTGACCTGCGAGTACTGGGAGATCCCTAAAGAGGACGCCGAAACATCCAGAGGCTGGAAAATGGTGAGTGCGAGGGGTTGGAGTCCGCAAAACGGGGAAGAGGCTGTTTGAATCCTGCGGGAACCGGCTGCGGTGGGATCTGGTCTTCGTGGTCAGCTCGAGTTTGCAGACCCAGGATTGCTCCGGCACAGCTCGGCCCTCCGTTCCCTCCATCGCAGATTAGGGACTCAGCCAGCAGCCAGATCCCTAGCGTCTTGCCCCGTCCATCGTGAATTGCTCCCCAGCCTAGAGCCCTTTGTGGGCGTCTCTGTGCGCAACCTCGAGTCTCCTTCAGATTGTGCGGGCATGATTGGAGGGAATAAGGGGAAGGAATCCCCACTTGGGGTCCGGAGTTTTTTCTTGAAAAAAGTAGTGGGCCCGGGCGCCCCCAGTTCCTTCCTTCTTCTCATTATTTATTTGAGACGGAGTTTTGCTCTTCTTACCCAGGCTGGAGTGCAATGGCACGATCTCGGCTCACCGCAACCTCCGCCTCCTGGGTTCAGGCAATTCTCCTGCCTCAGCCTCCTGAGTAGCTGGGATTACAGGCACGCGCCACATGCCCAGCTAATTTTTTGTAATTTTAGTAGAGACGGGGTCTCACCATGTTGACCAGGATGGTCTCTATCTCTTGACCTCGTGATCCACCCGCCTCGGCCTCCCAAAGTGCTGGGATTACAGGCGTGAGCTACCGCTCCCGGCCCTCTTTCTTTTCTTAAAAATGATATTATTTTGAGATGATGTCTCACTCTGCCGCCCACGCAGGAGTGCAGTGGCACTTTCAAGGTTCACTACAGCCCCCAACTCCCGGGCCTAGGTGATCGTTTCACCTTGGGATCGTTTCCCATCCCAAGTAGGTGGGACTACAGGCGTGCACCACCACTCCCAGCTAAGTTTTGTATTTCTTGTAGAGACAGACTTTGCTATGTTGCCTGGGCTGGATCTTATCCTCTGGTTTCTCTCAAGCTTGTGAAGGAATAACTATCCCAAAGTGCAAGGAAAACCCACCCTAATGAGGTAGTGTGTGAACTTGCAAAGCAAAATACTCATCAGGCACAGGGAGTAAGGACAGTGGCTTCTGAGGGAGGTGATTAATTACCTTAGCAGGATGGGGGTGGGAGAATCTATCAAATGATTGACACACAAGTCCAATATGCCTGTGTCCTGGTCAGTACCACCTCTCCTTGTGTTTGTCACCTTAAATATATTTTATACTTACTACAGATTACAGATTTTATTAACTGTATAATGTAGTTTATCATTAGAGCTTGAAAGACAAAAGACACAAATGTTTGCTAAGAGGAAGGAAAGGGATAGATTTCAGAGAAAATATCTCCTTTTATATTCCATTGGTTAAAAATTTTTAGCCAGTCACAGGTTTCTCACACCTGTAACCCCAGCACTTTGGGAGGCCAAGGAGGGCAGATCACCTGAGGTTAGGAATTCAAGACCAGCCTGGCCAACATGGCCAAAACCCATCTCTACTAAAAATACAAAAAAATTAGCCAGATGTGGTGGCCTGCACCTGAAATTCCAGCTACTCTGGAGGCTGAGGCAAGAGAATTGCTTGAACCCGGGAGGAGGAGTTTGCTATGAGTCAAGATAGCACCACTACACTCCAGCCCGGGTGACAGAATAGAACTCTGTTTCAAAAAAAAAAAATTATTTACCATTTTTATTTTGCAGAAAGAATGTGGACAGATTCTGAGGTCTGTTCTATTTTAGCGTGATTTCTTTCAAACAGAATCCCAAGGGCTTAGCTTTGGAAATGCTATCTGAGAAAAAAAATAGAAAAAAATGTTTCTCATTATGGCTGAGGACAAATAAATACATTTCTGAAAAAAAAATAAATTAACACATGAATTACAAACGTTTTTGAAAGCATCAGTTTTTTGTGCAAGGGTAGAGAATTTTTGACAGTGGGTACCTCAGTTCTGTTATCTGGGTTTCAGTTTAATGCTAAATTTGGAATGAAACTTGACAACTGCTAGAAGTTTCACATATTAATTGTTTACTATATGATTTGTTATAAAAATAATAATTAAATGATATGTTTATTGCCTGGAAAAAGATAAGTACTTTTGTTTTTTTGTTGAGGTATAAAATATAAGTGCATTACAATTTCTTGCCCTTCTGTAACAAATACTGAGTTTGAGTACTTTTGCTGGATTTACTTATTACTAGGTTTTTTTTTTTTTTTTTGAGATGGAGTCTCGCTCTGTCACCAGACTGGGAGTGCAGTGGTGCAATCCTAGCTCACTGCAATCTCCACCTCTTGGGTTTGAGTGATTCTCCTGCCTCAGCCTCCCAAGTAGCTGGGACTACAGGCAGGTGCCAACAAACCCAGCTACTCTTTGTATTTTTAGTAGAGATGGGGTTTCAACGTGTTGACCAGGGTGGTCTCAATCTCTTGACCTTGGCTTCCCAAGGTGTTGGGATTACAGGTGTGAGCCACCATTGCAAGCAGTATTTTTTTCATTACAACCAAGTGAATATTTTTGACTTGAAAGCAGAGACATGAGGTTAGAGAATCCAAGCAAACATCCATCCTAATTCTGCAAAAGGTGGTCATTGAAAACCAAATTCATTTTTCCCAGGAAGTCTTTACTGCAAGGATTTCAATATGTTTATGTCAATCATGGAAGGAGCTTTTTATGCAGAGTCCTGGAAAAATTGGGATCCATGGGGAAACTGGTGAGATTTAGGATGGAGGTAGTGAGTGTGATGCCTTTTCTCAGGGTGTAATCGTCATTGTCCTGGGCTATTTCTAGATAATGCCAAATAAAATAATTTTAAGTTAAGGCTAGAAAGAAGTAACTATTCTAAGGGAGTATTACAGTAGGAAAAAAGAACCAAGTATGAGATCTGGCAGCATCACAAAGTTTGGGTAGAAAAGCGTTTTTTTTTTCCCCTAGAGAGAAGCAAACAAGATTAAAAAGAAGATGGGAGGGAGAGGCCAGGATGGAGGGTGGCAATATCAGCTTTGAAATCAGAATATGTTGCCCTGAAGTCAGCCTGTTCTAGAAAGAGGGGTTGTATTTTGATTCAGGCTAAGGTGAGTCAGAGTCCAGGATCCTGAGATAAGGAGAGAAACTTAAGCAAAGTTTGATTAATAAGTGTTTTCTTCTGACCAATGAAGAAAAAACTGTTCAGCTAATTGTTCATAAGGCAAAAAAACAATTTGCAGTGTCTGTGTCTGGTTTTGTCATAGGTAAATAAGGGAGCATCATCTGCATATAATGGGAAGGGTGTGTTTTTCAGTAAGTTGCTCTTTCTGAACACAAATGATGGGGGATTTCCTTTACGCCTTTCTACCAGGGTCACTTACTTGTCCCATCTTCCTCCACCACTCTCCCTTGGTTTATGCGTCTCTTTCATCTTGCTGTTCCTGAGTTGTGTCCTTCATAATCAGCTGGCAAACAAGTAAAATGTTTTACTAAGTAAGTACTGTGTGTAGTTCTAACAAGTTACTGGACTGGAGGGGTTACAGGAGCCCCTGATTTAAAGATAGTTGCTCAGAAGTATAGGTGGTCCCCCAGACTAACATCTGTAGTTGGGGCAGTTTGTGGGACTGAGCTCTGAACTTGTGTGGTCTGTGCTAACTCTGGGTGATAATAGAATTGAACTGCTGGGCAGATTGTTGGAAAATTGGTTTTCGTTCAGCAAGCTCCACTCATTTGCTGCCAGAAGTATTTTCAGAAAAAAAACATCAAAGGTTAGCACATTAAACTGACTCCCAGATGAGTTATGTCGCTGCTTAGAACTAATATCCTGAAGGAGAGAGCATTTTCACGCTGTGAGAAGGGGAAGGTAGGGAGTGTGGAGCTCCCAGCATTTCATTTCCCAGCCGCTCAGTTTTTCGCCACTCAGCATCTAGGAGTGAGCCGCCCTGGGCTGCCTTCACAGCGAGAATGGACGTCAAGCTCAGAAACATGTTTAACCTATTCTGTGGTTTCTTCTGAAATGTGAATACAAGAGGCTGCTTCCCTGAGCTCTTGTATTCACATTTCCTTTTTTACAAAAATAAAATCTTGGTGCCATATAATTCCAATGTGTCCAAGTATTTAAACATTTTATTTTATGATTAGAGTGGAAGATTTTTATTTCATTGGTTGAAAATCTGCGTGGATTGTGTGATACGTGAAAAAGCAAAGATAATCCTTGGAATAAATTGATTGTTTTGAGTTTAAATAAGAATGTAACCTTTTATAGAATCACTAGGGGAATAAACAGGGCTGCTGCTGCAGTTCTGGTGTTTTCCTGATCTCATCTACCTTCTGCACCCAAAGGTGACTGTGACCACAGTTCTCACATTTTTTTGTTGCTTAACTATTTATCATAAGCAGGGATTTGCTTGCTTTTACCTTTTTTGAGTTTTCAGTAACTTAATGTTATCTTTAACATTTCATTAATATTATGCTGAAGAGGTTTTTGTTGTTGTTTCTTTGCCTCAGTCTGTTGCACATATGTTTCTGTTTAGGCCTTAGCTCACTCCCTTGGCTTACTGTTTAACCCATTTAGGATTTGAGTTGTTTTAATTTAATTTTTTGATGTGGGCAATGTTATTTTTAGTTTTATCCCCAAGTGCTAATGCTTTATACATTTGTTAACCCAAAGAAAGAAAATAAAGCATAAAATAGAATTTTAGAGGGTTTATTTTAGACAAAGTGATGACAGGTGCCTGGAAGTAACCTGGATATAAGCCCAATTTGATCTTTGGTACATGCAGGTAAAGAGTGAGACAATACGAAGTTGTTTGTCAGAAATTTTTGTTGATTGGTTCACAGAAATAGTGCTGACTAGTGGTATACTCTAAATGGTTGAACTGTAGGTTATGAGTTATGGTATACAGCATGTAGCATTGTTAGGTTCTTTCATAACTACTTTTTATGTCAGTCTGGGATTCACATAGCAAGCGCTGCAAGAAATGATAATTTAGCTCAGTGGTCTGGAGGGGGAGTGGGACATGACTGCATTCTTATTCCTTTCCTTCATTGGGCTTGATAATTTAGAGGGGCTTGCTTTCTTTAAATAAAATAGATTTTTATTTCCTTTTTTTTTTTTGAGACAGAGTCTAGCTTTGTTGCCAGGTGCCAGGCTGGAGTGCAATGGCTCGAGCTCGGCTCACTGTGATCTCCGCCTTCCAGATTCAAGCAATGCTCCTGCCTCAGCCTCCCAAGTAGCTGGGACTACAGGTGTGTGCCACCATGCCCAGCTAATTTTTTTTTTTTATTAATTTTTATTGGATTTTAGGTTTTGGGGTACATGAGCAGAGCATGCAAGACAGTTGCGTAGGTACACACGGCAGTGTGCTTTGCTTTTCTTCTCCCCTTCACCCACATTTGGCATTTCTCCCCAGGCTATCCCTCCCCACCTCCCCCTCCCATTGGCCCTCCCCTTTTCCCCCCAATAGACCCCAGTGTTTAGTACTCCCCTTTCTGTGTCCATGTTTTCTCATTTTTCATCACCCACCTATGAGTGAGAATATGCGGTGTTTCATTTTCTGTTCTTGTGTCAGTTTGCTGAGGATGATGTTCTCCAGATTCATCCATGTCCCTACAAACGACACAAACTCATCATTTCTGATTGCTGCATAATATTCCATGGTATATATGTGCCACATTTTTCCAATCCAGTCTATTATCAATGGGCATTTGGGTTGATTCCAGGTCTTTGCTATTGTAAACGGTGCTGCAATGAACATTCGTGTACATGTATCCTTATAGTAGAACGATTTACAGACTTTTGGATATATACCCAGTAATGGGATTGCTGGGTCAAATGGAATTTCTATTTCTAAGACCTTGAGGAATCGCCACACTGTCTTCCACAATGGTTGAACTAATTTACACTCCCACCAACAGTGTAAAAGTGTTCCTTTTTGTCCACATCCTCTCCAGCATCTGTTGTCTCCAGATTTTTTAATGATCGCCATTCTAACTAGCGTGAGATGGTATCTCAATGTGGTTTTGATTTGCATCTCTCTGATGACCAGTGACGATGAGCATTTTTTCATATGATTGTTGGCCTCATATATGTCTTCTTTCGTAAAGTATCTGTTCATATCCTTTGCCCACTTTTGAATGGGCTTGTTTGTTTTTTTCCTGTAAATCTGTTTGAGTTCTTTGTAAATTCTGGATATCAGCCCTTTGTCAGATGGGTAGACTGAGAAAATTTTTTCCCATTCTGTTGGTTGCCGATCCACTCTAGTAACTGTTTCTTTTGCCGTGCAGTGGAGTTTAATTAGGTCCCATTTGTCTATTTTGGCTTTTGTTGCCAATGCTTTTGGTGTTTTGTTCATGAAGTCCTTGCCTACTCCTATGTCCTGGATAGTTTTGCCTAGATTTCCTTCTAGGGTTTTTATGGTGCCAGGTCTTATGTTTAAGTCTTTAATCCATCTGGAGTTAATTTTAGTGTAAGGTGTCAGGAAGGGGTCCAGTTTCTGCTTTCTGCACATGGCTAGCCAGTTTTCCCAACACCATTTGTTAAACAGGGAATCCTTTCCCCATTGCTTGTTTTTGTCAGGTTTATCAAAGATTGTATAGTTGTATGTATGTTGTGTTGCCTCCGGTGCCTCTGTTTTGTTCCATTGGTCTATATCTCTGTTTTGGTACCAGTACCATGCTGTTTTGATTACTGTAGCCTTGTAGTATAGTTTGAAATCCGGTAGTGTGGTGCCCCCCGCTGTGTTCTTTTTGCTTAGAATTGACTTGGCTATGCGGGCCCTCTTTTTGGTTCCATATGAAGTTCATGGTAGTTTTTTCCAGTTCTGTGAAGAAAGTCACTGGTAGCTTGATGGGGATAGCGTTGATTCTGTAAATTACTTTGGGCAGTATAGCCATTTTCACGATATTAATTCTTCCTAACTATGAACATGGAATGTTTCTCCATCTGTTTGTGTCCTCTCTGATTTCGTTGAGCAGTGGTTTGTAGTTCTCCTTGAAGAGGTCTCTTACGTTCCTTGTGAGTTGTATTCCAAGGTATTTTATTCTTTTTGTAGCAATTGTGAATGGCAGTTCGCTCTTGATTTGGCTTTCTTTAAGTCTGTTATTGGTGTAGACGAATGCTTGTGATTTTTGCACATTGTTTTTATATCCTGAGACTTTGCTGAAGTTGCTTATCAGTTTCAGGAGTTTTTGGGCAGAGGCAATGGGGTCTTCTAGGTATACTATCATGTCGTCTGCAAATAGAGAAAATTTGGCTTCCACCTTTCCTATTTGATATTTCTTTTTCTTGCCTGATTGCTCTGGCTAGAACTTCCAGTACTATATTGAATAGGAGTGGTAAGAGAGGGCATCCTTGTCTAGTGCCAGAATTCAAAGGGAATGCTTCCAGTTTTTGCCCATTCAGTATGATGTTGGCTGTTGGTTTGTCGTAAATAGCTTTTATTACTTTGAGATACGTTCCATCGATACCGAGTTTATTGAGGGTTTTTAGCATAAAGGGCTGTTCAATTTTGTCAAATGCCTTCTCTGCGTCAATTGAGATAATCATGTGGTTTTTGTTTTTGGTTCTGTTTATGTGGTGAATTACATTGATAGACTTGCGTATGTTGAACCAGCCTTGCATCCCTGGGATGAATCCTACTTGATCATGATGAATAAGTTTTTTGATTTGCTGTTGCAATTGGCTTGCCAATATTTTATTGAAGATTTTTGCATCTATGTTCATCATGGATATTGGCCTGAAGTTTTCTTTTCTCGTTGGGTCTCTGCCGGGTTTTGGTTTTGGTATCAGGATGATGTTGGTCTCATAAAATGATTTGGGAAGGATTCCCTCTTTTTGGATTGTTTGAAATAGTTTTAGAATGAATGGTACCAGCTCCTCCTTGTGTGTCTGGTAGAATTCGGCTGTGAACCCGTCTGGACCTGGGCTTTTTTTTTTGTGGTAGGCTCTTAATTGCTGCCTCAACTTCAGACCTTGTTATTGGTCTATTCATAGTTTCAGCTTCCTCCTGGTTTAGGCTTGGGAGGACACAGGAGTCCAGGAATTTATCCATTTCTTCCAGGTTTACTAGTTTATGCGCATATAGTTGTCTGTAATATTCTCTGATGATGGTTTGAATTTCTGTGGAATCTGTGGTGATTTCCCCTTTATCATTTTTTATTGCATCTATTTGGTTGTTCTCTCTTTTATTTTTAATCAATCTGGCTAGTGGTCTGTCTATTTTGTTGATCTTTTCAAAAACCCAGCTCTTGGATTTATTGATTTTTTGAAGGGTTCGTGTCTCAATCTCCTTCAGCTCAGCTCTGATCTTAGTTATTTCTTGTCTTCTGCTGGGTTTTGAGTTTTTTTGATCTTGCTCCTCTAGCTCTTTCAATTTTGATGATAGGGTGTCAATTTTGGATCTCTCCATTCTCCTCATATGGGCACTTATTGCTATATACTTTCCTCTAGAGACTGCTTTAAATGTGTCCCAGAGGTTCTGGCACGTTGTGTC